ATCTCGTTTGTTCCAAGAGTTTTTGGCATTGCTCTTCGAGATGGCTTTTGGACGCTGCCACCCTCCCATTTCCTCAGAGAAGTGAACGGTGTTGAAAACAACTCGGGGCAGTAGCTGCGACAATATCTGCAGACGGCGGTATTTGCGAAATCTATGCAAATGAGTTTGGTGAAGCAAGACGAGGGAAGTGGGTCATAATTCAGACCTGAATGCAAACAAACTCTAATATCTCCGCACCAACCGGCGCAGGATCCGATATAGCTCGGCCATTGCGGAAGATAAATGTGGAATGGGTTGGGACAATTTTCCTTCGAATGATTCCAAAACGTGCCCGGAAATCCCGCCGACTGAAAACATAAAAAACCAAGGTAGCATATGACGTCCATCCCTAGCAATGAACGCTAAAAAAGACGCGCAAAGCAGCTTGACACTGCAGCGCTGGCTGCAAGGACGCGGTTGACATGCAACAGAAAACGGGGCCGTTTGACCGAATGAAGCTCAAACGGACTGAATCCAGCTCGCTGTACTCCGACGGCTGCGTACGGTATTCTGAGGTCGCGAATTAGAGAGCTGAGTGTTGGGTTTAGTCTCGGAATTACAGTACTATATTTGAATATACGGAAATCCACATAACTTGCCCAAAAAATATTTCTTGAAATGCATGACAGACAATGCCAGTTATCAAACGTCGTCCCCGTTTTATATCAAGCATCGTTTTATCATGGTCAGAGCAGAGATTTTGTAATTTTGCGCTACCCGCGTAAATCAACTAGCTCAAGCAACTGTCACCGACTCAGGCGCAGCTTGCTGTCCCTCTTCTATGCACAGGTAGACTATTGCGTTATATCTATCCTCTCGATTCTCATTTCATCTTGACACTACGGGCCTTTCAATCGTTACACCGCAAGATTTTCGCGAATGGTTGATTTCAGCCAGGGTCAAATGAGAGCCTGACACATCAATAGTGTACCGGCGTTTCTACGTAGCTTGCTCTCTCTCTCTGGGACTAGGCATCCGTGTCAGTGCAATATACTCAATTTATAAAACAGCCTTAATGGCCCCAAAATTAACTGTCAGTTAGGTTCAGAATGGATTTTGGATAACTAAAATGCAACCGTCAAAACAACTTGCGCGCATTGGAAGATAGGCGTTTTTCCAAGCATTTCTACGTTTCGAATATCCGAATACCAATTTCGTCATCACAATATTTACTCAAAATTCATTCGAATAGTCGAACATTACGAATCCAAAAATATTCAGGTCTTCTGTAAATCGAGCTGACATGTGTTGCCTGCTGCTGCGGTCATTTGCAGACGAGCGGAGCGGCTCAGGAGAATTGCGTGGTGGTCACGCTAAAGAATAGAAAATTGGGCATGCACAAAACCACGCATCTAGCACGTTTTTCACCAACGACAAGCGAGTACCTCTCTTCTGAGCAGACGAGGAGCCGTCCTTTCGCCAAGCTCCCCACAGGTCTGGACCTAGCTCTGGCCCTAGACGTCCCTTCATCCGCTCCTCACAGAATCTGAGAAGCGTTTGAAGCCAGCTAATCGAGTACGTGTGTGTCGAGCCACGCTCCAGCGCCCCTCCCCCTCCCCGCCGCCGAGGGCGCCGTGAGAGGTGTTCGGCACCCTCTGGCGGTCGTTCGGGGGGGGGGGGGGGGCCCTTCGGCAGCAGTTCGGGCGCGCTGCCGCACCCGCCACTCGAATCCAGAGGCGGGATTAATCTGCCAATTGGCGTTTTACAGCCGCGGGGAAACGCGACGCGGCGTCGTCACAGGTTCACGGACGGACGGAAGGGATGGGGGCGATGTGGGGTGGGCACCCCCTCCCCCACCGGCACGGATCCGCTTGCAGCAGGCGGAGTTGGGCGGTACCCTGCCCCATCGCCACGCGGCGTCGAGACCAGGCGGGTAGGAGGCCAGGGCGGGGGTGTGTACCCGCCCGTCGTTGCCAGAGAGACGGAGATGGTCTGCTGGGTACCCTGACCCGTCGCCACGCAGTGACGAGAAGGGCGGGAGGCGAGGGTGGGGATGGATACGCGCCCGTCGTGTCCTGCGGGACGGATGTGGTCTGCTGGGAAGGAGCCTCACCAGCCTGGAGACATCCCACAAGCACTGCCTGCCACTTTGCACCGAACGTCTGCCGCCAGCGCGCGGCTGGGTCCCCTCCGGAGACGGCGACAAGACCGACGCCGTCCGGAAGTCCCGACAGCGCGGAGCGAGACCCCAGGGGCCATCTGGCGCCGGCGCTGCAGGGAAAAGGGCCCTTACGACAATCGCCCACTTGAGTCATCGCCCCTCCGACCATAAAGGGGAGTGGCACCCCAGTCGACGCGCCGTTTGCAGAGGCTCTGGCAGGAAGGGGGATGATGGGAGTGGCGGGACAGGCGCGACCGGCTCTCTCCCAACAGACAGACGACGCAGGACTAGCTACAGAGCTCATTCGCCTATTCGCACGTACTTGGGCAATTCTCATGTTCGCGGGTGATGTCGCTGAGTGGTCGTGTATTCCCACCAATGACAACATGGACGGAGGCGTCCCAGTAAAAAAATATCCGCCTTGACATGATTGGTTGGGATTTTCCAGAGCTACGAATGTCGTTTCCGCGTGCGAAAAAGCTTGGGAGCACTCCTCAGCTTTGCGAAAGGGGAGTTACAATGCATTGTTTTTCGTAAGATGCAGTGGGTCTGCCTCAGCATGGGGCCCTGGGAGCCGGTCAATCCCTTGACGGGACTTCCATATGATATAAGCACAATCATGTTGACTGTGAGTCGTGATAGCGGTCCGTTAAAAGAAAAGCGAAACACGCTAATTAATTTCAGCAGCACCCTCGATCAGACTCTCGCCGATTTCGTCCAAAGCCTTTTGCCAGCATGGGTGTCTGGGATCAGCACCCACGCTCAGCAGCACCCGCGCTGTTGCGTGAGTCCGGACCGCAAGATCCGATCGCACAATGCCTGGCAAACTGCAACAAACTGTGGCGAAGATTTAATGTGTCATGTCATGTGCTATGTCAATGTGTCACGTCATATTTAATGTCATGTCAGCTCGACACGGACGGTCTTACCCTCTGATGTCAACCAATCTTACGCGTGGTCGCTGCCACCAGCCTCGGGCCGTCCCAGTCAGGGGCCCGACATTGGGTCATCCTAGTCAGGAGCCCGACCTCAAGTCATCCCAGTCAGGAGCCCGACCTCGGGCCGTCCCAGTCAGGAGCCCGACTTCGGGCCGTTCCAGTCAGGAGCCCGACTTCGGGCCATCCCAGTCAGGAGCCCGATCTCGGGTCATCCTAGTCGGGAGCCCGACCTCAGGTCATCCCAGTCAGGAGCCCGACTTCGGGCTGTCCCAGTCAGGAGCCCGACCTCGGGTCATCCCAGTCAGGAGCCCGATCTCGGCCCGTCCCAGTCAGGAGCCCGACCTTAGGCCGTCCCAGTCAGGAGCCCGATCTCAGGCCGTCCCAGTCAGGGGCCTGACCCCAGGTCATCCCAGTCAGGAGCCCGTTCTCAGGCCGTCCCAGTCATGAGCCCGACCTCAGGTCATCCCAGTCAGGAGCCCGATCTCAGGCCGTCCCAGTCAGGGGCCTGACCTCGGGTCATCCCAGTCAGGAGCCCGACCTCAGGCCGTCCCAGTCAGGAGCCCGATCTCAGGCCGTCCCAGCCAGGAGCCCGATCTCAGGCCGTCCCAGTCAGGGGCCTGACCTCGGGTCATCCCAGTCAGTAGCCCGACCTTGGGTCATCCCAGTCAGGAGCACACAGTGAGCGAGCGAATAGCGGCACGAGCCCACCCCGTCGCGGGTGGATGAAGTCGAAGGCAGACGTTCTAAACAACTGACCCAATGGAACAGGCCCAATAAGCTGATCGATAACACATCTCAAAGACCGCGGCTCAGATAACCTAAAAAGCCAGCCATTGACTCATATTTTGATCTTTATCATGCTTTTCTTGCCAGTCCGGCTTAGATGCTGAGCCCGGATAAATGATATCAGTTTGCCTGAAAATAAACATCATCCCAATGCCTAATAGGAGCACCACAGTCCGCTGATCAGAGACGTAGCCACGGGGGACGGGCCAGGCCTCTCTCATGCCAAGAGATTTACACGAGGTACTCGGTGATTTAGCAGTAGTTCGGTCCAAATTCGCAGGAGCTCGGGTGAAATCTAATGTTTGACTCTTCCCCTGCGGAAAGACCTGGTTACGTGCCTGCAACAGCTAAAAATGGTACGCGGCATGTTTAATAACATTATGATCTGTACCTCACGCTACTTTCTATTTAGACAGCTGTGATAACGATATTATGACGCTGACGCTGCAATGGTTCGATGGAGGCAAGACCACAAACCGCCACACGCTCTAAAACCGGCTACCACGTTACGCTGGGACAATTTAATATAACTGCCACTTGTGGCGGCCCAAGACTTGATTAAGGTCGACAGCCGCGCGCAGGTCTGCATGCAGTGATGTTTCCACGACAGCAATGGGCGCCAGTGAATTTGTTGGTACACCTCCACGCTTATTTAATGGGGTCAACCGTGTTTGGAAGGGTCAGTATAGGTGTCTCACTAAGTATCAAGCTGAGCTGGTATTTGCGGTCTCAGATAGGTCAAATAGGTGTACCGTTGCTCTCCAAACGTAATCCCAATTATCACCCGCCACCAGCGCCACCTATTCCGAGGTCTCCATCTAGTTCCTGTCCCACACGCTAGAGGGCGGGCAGCGACAGCACCGTTGCGGCCGCGTGAAACGCATCACCCAGACCTCTGTCGCACGCTGATACTAATAAGGAAGATGCCATCCAACCATCCGAAACATATTGCTTCCGTTCAGGCACCTGCGGCGCTTACAATCAGACCGCTGCGTGTACTGCAAGCAGACCGAGCTGTGTGGGTGGTCCGCCGACCTGCTGCCTGTCCCCCCTCCCCTCCCCTCCCTCCATCAATCTAGGGACCGCACGCGAGACGGCAAGGACGGGCCCTGCTCGCAGCCGCGGCTGTCACTGACCTTTGAGCAGGAGCTGCATCTGCTGCGTGGCCTCGGGCTCCGGCGGGCAGGGTCCGTCGCCGGCCGGCCGGTCCTGCAGGTCCCTGGCTGCTGCATCGAGCTCGCTCTGAAACGGAGGGTCGACTCGGTCAAACACGCACCGGCGGATGGCGGCAGCAGCGGCCGACCTCGTGCGGCAGCTCGGGCGGGACAAGGTCACGAAGTCACGGGTCTATCCACATTCTGGCGCAAGGTTTGAAGTCGGCGGAGAGCTTTAACGTCATGGAAAAGAGGCCGCTAGAGGTAGATTTATTCCCACGGATCAGGAACCGCAAGTCATCCTTGCATGTAGGGAGTAATTCTGGCGAGCGCCTTCTATTCGGTGTTGTATGAATGTGAAAGTGATTCACTGACATCATGCATGTGTGAATATGATTCAGTGGAATGATGTATGAATGGCATCAAGCACCCAGTCAATATCACTGCGTGATATCTGTGAAAATTTGGACGCGATTTTAGTGTTAATTGTGACGAAAATCTTGACAATCATCCGTACTTCGGGACCGGAGCGGAACCCCAGGGGGGACGGGGATGAGTCTCTGGACTCTATCGACATTCAACGTTATCTGTCGCAATCGAGCTGCATGGAAAGAGTGCATCTAAAGCACACCCCATCCCCCCCCCCCCCCGGTCCCGATCATCCGCCGGTGGTGCCGTCCTTGCCTCGGGAACATCCAGTGTGCACATCAGGTAGAGGTGCTCTCACACTCAGCATTCATAGTTCGCCGGACATAGCTCCCTTCACATGAGGATATCAACGTCGTCGTCGATGGCAATATGCAAAATCTAGGTATCACGGCTATCTTTAAGTCCCAGCACCATCCGCCCCAATATGGAGACTTCTGTATTAATGCGACGGGATGCGGAATGATAAATTGCTTTGTCGATCAAACAACTATGTAAGCGCACATTGTTTCTGGTGAGGCCTGCTATATTTTAGTGCTTCTAACAACACGGTTCGCGCCATTGGCCCAGTTGGATAGCGCGCCTTCCATCCGATCCATCCACACGAGGCGGGGGGGGGGGGGGGGAGGGGGGGAGGGTCTCTTCTGCCTCTCGCCATTTGCCCTTGACAGACATGCTCCGCGGTCGGCGGCAGCGGTCGCGCTAAAAGTCACGTGACGTCAGAGGGCAGGACGAGCCGTACCGAACATTGTGGCACGTTAAACCTTCGCCACCAAATCATGCCGTTAACCTAGAATTGCACGGTCGGATGGTTGTTCGTCAGGGTTTGCACGAGCGCTACATAGCGCGAGCTCTAATCCCAGAAATTCATCACTCAAAAGATTCGGATCAAATCTTTAAGCATAATCAAAAACGTTCTTTTCACTGTTTTATGCTCTTTCATCCACTGGTGGTCCATTGAAACGAGTCGATACATTACCCTTCTAAGCTTATTCTTTGCAGAGTTTCACAATGGAAAGCACTGGCTTTAACTTTCAATGCACGGCACTTAAACAGGAGCCAAATGAAAATGATTACTATTGATACCAATCAATATCAATGGAAGGCAACGTGGATGCTACTACAAGTGTGATCGCTATATCAGCCCTTTCGATCTGCCACGTGACTCGAGATACTTCCGTGCTGCGAGACGTAGGCGTACCGTGTGTGCAGCACCACGCGAGGGGGTGCAGCACCGCATCGTCCAAAGTGGCGGCGCGTGACACCACAACCGACATCTGTTTTATATCCCTGCGAGATCCTGCGGCCCTGAGGCCAAGCCATCAACCGAGACATCCGTGGTAGATTGGGGATACCCTAAGCCTGTTTGCATAGCCGCAGGCGGTGGCGGCGCCGGACGGGTTCCTTTGTCCGCCAGGGCGGGCGCGGGCGGCCGGCCGCCAGCACCGGTCCGAGTCGTGCCTCGCCCCGCAGCTCTGCCCCCTGGTGGTAAACCACTTCCGTTTCGCCGCTCGACGAACGCAAATAAACAGAGTAGCCTGTCACCTGGCCAGCGTTAAGCCGTGAGTGCGTCGGCACGGGCACAGCGAGTGTTTATGCCGGCGCGCGAAGCTGAAATTCGAGTGCGGTTCGGCAAACACGCCCGGCTCTCCGGAGCGGAGGTGGCCTGGCCAACAATAACTACACGAGTCACGCGCTCTTGGGGTCGGGTCGCAGAGCGCGGCTGCGTAATCAGTCCAGGTCACCACACGACTTTTCGGTGGCGATGAAGATCGCTGACGGAATGAGACCACTGACCGCAAAAGCCACTCAGTAATTTTATAAGGATTTAAAACACGAGAGTGCAAAACCCAGTTTCGCACTGCGGTCTTATGCATCAGATCAGTTGGAGGGCTGGAACGCATCAATCTTGCCTTCTCAAGATGTGCAGATAGTGGGAGTGGCTCTCAAGCAGGCGGGACGTATAACAGGGCCGTCGGATCTAACTGCCGGGGTGGGTCCCACCCAAACCAGCGTGACCTCGACCGCCGACGCGCCCAGGGAAGACTGCACCGCGCTGGCGACGCCGCCCTGGTCTGCGACTGACGGCGCACTCGGGACAATAGCGGAACTGAAACTTTTGCGCAAATGTCAGAGCACGCCCGGGCTCTCGCTCCTGGACACGTTCGCTGACGCCGCTCCCCGCGAGGCGCCGCTCCTCTGCCCGTGTACTCAGCACTCGGCCGCCGCCGCCGCCGGGCCGGCGGGACGGCGCCCGCCGCGGGCGGTGTCCCGGAGGAGGCGGCCGGCCCGGCGGACGGGCCCGCCTGCCCCTCGTCTGTTTGTTGTGACGAGGAGCTGTGCACTCTCTGGACCGCGTCCTCTCGAGCTGGAGCCCACACACCCGGGCGCCGGCTCAGTTCGCGCAGTGAGGAGGAAGAGTGCCTCCAGGGCCCTGCGGACCAGGCCAGCGGCTTGCTGTTGAGTGATCACTGCTCCCTGATGTGAACCAATGATTGGGATTGCTGTCTGCTGTCGATCGACTGTTGTCTACGATCTGCGAACTGCGACCAATTGCTATCTGCTGGGATTGCTGTCTGCTGATGGCTGTCGCTCATCTTGCATTGCCTTTCAAAACCTGCATCGTCCGTCCATAGGCAGTCGGGGGAATGAGCCTCGCTGCTACCGCTACAGAGCAGGTCGGCAGCGTAGCTCCGAGCCACGCTGCCTACAGGTTTCCCGCAGTTGCCCTGTGACGTAGTCAGTGTGGCTGAGAGCATGCCCACATTGCCATGGAGGCGAGCCGGCCTGGCGGCCCCCCCCCCCCCCCCCCCCAGCAAATTTCCAACTACGGCACTGCGTGTCCAGAAAATCCCCAACTACGAACAGTGCCGAGACCCGCTTCGCTGTAAGTGACATGCCGCCGCATGCCGCTCCCGTGCGCCATTAGGTGGACCACGCGTGTAAAGTCCAGCACATTTTCACGGCGGTGGGCGCGAGACAATCCTGCCAGCGGTCCCTGCGTCCATGGCCGAGGAGCGCCGCTGTGTCCGGCCCACCGGCGGTCTCCGCCCCGGCCCGTGGAATGTCGCCAGTCACGTTGTGTTTTTGCTGATCATTTGTCAGATCGGTGCTGCCAAAGCCACGCCGAGGCGCCCGCAAGCTCGCGCCGTGCCGCCGCGCGCACCGCCGACTGTTGACCTCTGACCCGAGCCGTGGCCGGCGGCATGCGGGTGAGCGAGGTTGTCACCCCGTTGGCGCCCGTCTCGCCCGGCCCGAGGACGCCCCTCCCCCCCCCCCCGGGGCAGCCAGCAACGGTTCCCACCCCAGAGCTGCGGTGGGCTCATCACAGCTCTGTACTCGGATGAAAGCGTGCGTGTTTAGTGCGTGAATGAAAACAGTCGTTCGAATAGTCCGTCTCAGCTAGTGAGCAGGTACCTTATGCTGTGTTGGGACGATTTTCAAGCCGTCTATACACGTCTTTAGCAAGAACGTCCAGCTTGTACAATAGCACACATTGGCTTACGTTCAACCCTGATACACCCTTCTTACACTAGTTCCAACCGCCTATCATAAAATATGGAAATCCTTGAATAGTGAGAATAAGTAAAAACTTGATGTCAAGGACAGCACTCGCTATTTTGAGGTCAAATTCGTCAACATTTCGATACATTCGGGAGTCACCGTCAGTACGCCTTTGTACACAATGGAAACAAGGCCACATTTCACAAACATCACGAGGTTATATCACCTTTATCGCTGATGGCAAGTACGTTAGTGGTGATGGTGAGCACGATTAAGCACGAGCACACATGCGCTCATGTGCAACAACAGCGTGTGCTCGTGTTGAAGTGTGTTAACCATGACTATTAACTTACTTGCCATCAGCGCTATCGGTACAACAGCCTAGCGACGTTTGTTGAATATAGCTTTGTTTCATTGTGTAAGAAAGTGTGCTGATGATGATAGTCTAGTGAATCGAAACGTTGACGGATTTAACATAAAAAGTAGCGGCGGTTGTCCCGAACATAGAGTTTTTTGTTCTTCATATATATACATATATATATATATATATATATATATATATATATATATATATATATCGATCTATATCTATACCTATATCTTACACCTTACATATACGCATATATTTATGAGTATTTTCCCAGTGTGAGCATTTGTACACGAGCAAGCTGGTTAGACTAGCTAGCTCACTAATGGCTTAATATTGACAACGCACGCTACACCGGGTAACAACCTTCCACGCGACTGGGAGCCAGTGGCGTCTGAGCCGTCACCAGGCGAGTTTGCGTCGCTGGCACAGAGCCGCCGTTTCCTCGGTGAGGCGTGAAGAACAGAGGGCGCCACGCTGATACCTTCCGCAGCTGACAGGATGCCGCAGCAACAGGGTCGCCATGGGAGCCAGCCGGCTGAGGAGGATGAGACCAACAAACGCCTTGATTGGAGCCTGGCCCGCCGCAGCGCTGACCACCCCCTCCCGGGTCAGCCCCGCTCCTCGCCCCCGTCGTATGACGTCACACGCCGGCGGTGACCGGGCTCAGCCCGCCGTGATGACCCGGTCGGTCGGCGCTGTGACGGCATCGCCGGGCTAGAGCTGGACACTAATCCGCAGACGGACGGCGACGTCTGAATGGAGGCGGACATGGCGGCGGCGGCGGCGCG